TGAAAAAATAGTTAAGCATGAGTTGATAATTGAATACAAATGTTTAAATTGCTCACATAATTACAAAGATGACAATGTAAATACAAACTTGATTTTGCCAATTTATACATCACACAATACAAATTCTTTAAATGAATTATTTAAAACATCTTATGGAAACTGGGAAAACATTACTAAAACATGTGGTATGTGTAGTTCCAACAACTCAATAACAAAAAGTACCATTTCTCTAACTGAACAATGTTCTGTTATGTTTGTACAACTAATGATTTTTGAAATTAAAGAAGGTAATTGGGTTAAAAATCTTAAAACACTTACCAATCTACATAGTGAAATTGTTAAAATAGATGATGCTAACTTTAAAATATCTGGTATAATAGATCACCATGGACCAAATATTACTAGTGGCCACTACACATGTAAACTTAGGAGTGGTAATACATGGTATCAAGCTGATGATAACAAAGTCACAAAATGTAACAAACCTGAAGTTGAAACTAACACTTATGTAATAGTACTGGAAAAATGTTAAAAAACTGACAATAATGCTACAGAAATGATACCTTACAATTATTGTCATTGAGCTGATACAAGGCAATGTCCTCAACTGTTCATTACAAAAGGCAGTTAAATTGTATATCTATAAATGCTACAACAATGTCACCTCACAAAGTTGAAATGAAAGGCAAGTCCTCATCAACTGTTTCTTTACAAAACACAGTTGATTAAATCTTTAAATACTGGTGCAAGGGTTACCATTATCTCCAAATTCAAAATTTAAAAAAAATATATAAATATACATGTTTAAGTTTTTTTACGATTTCTTTTGTTACTTCAAACTTTTAAACTGTTACAACACTTTCAATCACTTTTAAACAAATTTAAATATTCATTGTGTTTTTATTTTGCGTAGTAATCTAAATGTTAATCCAATTTTCAATACAAACATTCATCACGATTTGTTTCTTTTAAAATCTTTTACCTAGAAAATAGCTTCGAAATCATATAAAAAATAATTGTATTGGAATTTAAACAATAGATATCTTATTAATTTCTTAAAGTAATTTTTGTAAGAAAACAAAACCAACATAAATACACTCTAGATATATAGTTTTTTTACATTTTCTAATTTGCACGATTCTTGAAAAAATCAGCTGTATGTTGTCACCTTTACTAATTTGTTCCAAAAGATATATTCTAGGTATGGCCTTGTTTATTCATAATTTAACTTCATTACTCTTATTTAAAACCAATAAAACATAAAAAATAAATCACTTAAAATTAATTAAATGTATGTAAAAATGACAAACATGACAAAATAATACTGCTTGTGCTAGGGCCAGGGTGCACTAGGTCGCTGAGCACTGCTGATTCACTGACAAGTTAAATTTAAAACACCCTCACCAGTACTTAAAGGTTTGCAAAAATGCTACCGAAAAGTCGCCTAGCGGTTGGGTAAGTGAATCAAGGCATTGGCCTTAACAATTCTTCACAAATGACAGTTAGTAAAAAAATATGCTACGGCAATGTCACCTAGCGATTGGGTAGGTGAATCAAGGCAATTGGCCTCAAGTGTTCTTCAAAACAGTTAGTAAAAAAAGATGCTACGGCAATGTCACCTAGCGATTGGGTAGGTGAATCAAGGCAATTGGCCTCAAGTGTTCTTCACAACAGTTAGTAAAAAAAGATGCTACGGCAATGTCACCTAGCGATTGGGTAGGTGAATCAAGGCAATTGGCCACAAGCGCTCTTTACAACAGTTGGTAAAAAAATATGCTACGGCAATGTCACCTAGCGATTGGGTAGGTGAATCAAGGCAATTGGCCTCTAGTCACAGAAAACGTACTACTATAACCCAGAATGCCAACCGCATGGTAAAAAGCATTAAGCGGTTTGAGAGAGCTTTGCCTGTCAATGCGTAGGCAGCGCCACCAGCGTTGCCATGCAATAGCATAGCAACGCTGGTGGCGCTGCCTACGGATTGACAGGCAAAGCTCTCTAAAACCGCTTAATGCTTTTTACCATGCGGTTGGCATTCTGGGTTATAGTAGTACGTTTTCTGTGCTCTAGTGTACTTCACAACAGTTGGTAAAAAAATATGCTACGGCAATGTCACCTAGCGATTGGGTAGGTGAATAAAGGCAATTAAGCCTCAACTGTTCTTCACGAAAGACAGTTAATAAAAAAAAGATGCTACGGCAATGTCACCTAGCGATTGGTTAGGTGGATCAAGGCAATTAGGCCTCAACTGTTCTTCACGTAAGACAGTTAATAAAATAAGATGATTTCACCTAGCGATTGGTTAGGTGAATCCAGGCAATTGGCCTCAAGTGTTTCCGTCACAAAAGACAGTTAATAAAAAAAAAGATGCTACGGCAATGTCACCTAGCGATTGGTTAGGTGAATCCAGGCAATTGGCCTCAAGTGTTTCCGTCACAAAAGACAGTTAATAAAAAAAAGATGCTACGGCAATGTCACCTAGCGATTGGGTAGGTGAATCAAGGCGATTGGCCTAAACTGTTCTTCACGAAGGACAGTTAAGAAAAGAAGATGCTACGGCAATGTCACCTAGCGATTGGGTAGGTGAATCAAGACGATTGGTCTCAACTGTTCTTCATGTGAGACAGTTACGTGAACTGTCTTTTTCAAGACAGTTCTGTAGAAGGGTTTACTCCATACCACAGTCCTTGCTTGTGTGACCAAGGCTGTGGGAACCTCTTTCCCTTCAGTGGTTCTCAAAAATGATTAGGATTATACAAACATTTAAATAGTATGTCAACAACTTAAAATATTCCCAAATATTTGTGATACCTATCATTTTCAATATTTTCCCACTTAACTTTTTGTTGTCTGTCTCTAAACAATAATCTATTAACTTAATAGTTTATTTATCATCAAATAATAATTGTACTGCAACAAAATTAAAGACATTGGACATTGGTGTGAAAGTAAAAATATTGACTAGGAATATATAAAATATCTTGTATGAAATGGTAAAATAATAAAGGTACATATGAAAAATAAATAACGCAACTTATTAAAATTAGTAAATTAATTCTAATGTAATTGCATGAAACTTTTTATGAGAGTATTAAATAATTATTTTGTCATTTTCTCTAAACAATAATCTTTTAACTTAATAGTTTATTTATCATCTAAATAATAATTAGACTGCAACAAAATTATAGACATTGGACATTGGTGAGAATGTAAAAATATTGACTAGCAATATATAAAAAGACTTGCATGAAATGGTAAAATAATAAAGGTTCATATAAAAATAAATATCGCAACTTATTAAAATCACTAAATACTAATATAATAGCATGGCACTTTTTATATGAGTATTAATTAATTATTTTGTCATTTTAAGATTTTTTCTATGGGTAAATTATTTAACTGAGAACCACTGTCTTAAAAAATAGAGTGACCTTCAAAATGGTGGAGAGGTTGACGTTCCTTTGAAGGCTTTTCTACTAACATCCACTAGTGACACATTAATCTACAACTTATTTATGTGGAAAAAAGTGCAAAATTATTACTTTTAACAAAATCAAACAATAAATAAAAAACTTAACTTCAATTTTAACCAGCTTCAAATAAACATAATATGATATTGATGAAATTTCATAAAATTAAAAAAAATTTCATTTATTTAGGCGAACGCACATGACCGAGCAATGGGAATGGTGTGAGATACTAAACTTAAATGAGGGTGGAAACATACTTTTATTAAATAAATACCAGAACCTACCAATTCCCATCCAAATTGACAACTGGGTCTAGGTGTTAGCAATAGTTTGAACTTAATGAGCAAAAGTGCAAAGTAACGAATACTCAAATACAATAAATTAAAAACACACTCCAACCATATTCATAATAGCAAAGTCAATAAACCGACTAGATTATTTTACACTCCGAAATGATCAACTCATTTTACAAATAAATATTTAATGGTGACAACATAAATATAAAACATCACCACCAAAAGCGGTGTTAGTGGCCACACAACGACTGGACCAAATTTTTTCGATAAGCTGTTAGCTAGTACTGTACTTTAATTCCCTGTGAGGAGCGTGGAGGTTTTAATAAAAGCTATTTGTTTTGTGGTAGGATAAAAAAGCCAAGAATTTTCATTTGTACTCTATCAAACAAGTACAGGAACATCGTTATATGCTACTTACTCATCTCATGTATGTCGATCTTCAAATATATTCCAAAGTTTAATCCAATTCACAATTTATGTTTGACTTTAAGCAAATTTCCCTATGAAGAAGTAGCTACCTTAGTTTGCATGGTAAGACCTGAAGCCGGGACCAATATACTTCTTCCTTTAATGTCCCTAGAGGCCAAAAACACTATTCGTTAAAATTTGTATACAAGTATATATATAAACGTCTGTGAACGTGAACGCGATAACTTGAGTAATTTTTGTCCGATTTTAATTAAATTTAGTTTGTAGGTGTAAGGGGGGATAAACTTGAATGACTTCACAAACCAGCATGATCGGACCATGGGGTAAAAATTGTTTTTTCAAATTGTTCACCATCAAAACGCAAAGTTTCCCAATTTCTCTCTAGACCATTTTAAAGAGCAAAAACAAATAATTTAGTATACCAAAGTGTTTTTGTACAGTTATTGGTTATGGGAAAAATTCAAATTCAAAATTCCCATGTTATTCTTATAGAGAATTTTGTAAAATGTTGTAGTTTGCTTGTTAGTGGAAATATTTTTGATAAAACTAGGCAAATTTATTTATTTTATACTAGGCCTAAGCTACTAATATTTTACCAAAAACACTTTATATTAGCCTCCCTGTAGCAACAAACCTAGGTACCCAATGGCTTAATGAATTAATGTTTTTTTTTTAATAGATTTAATTAAAGTCAATTCAGGCAAATGGAAATTCGCTTAGTCTGCAGGTTTGCTGCGGCGGGGGTATTTTGATAATTTATATGTAATTGTTTTCATTGATGATCTACGAGTTTTTGCCACTGTCGCGTAACCTCTACTCGACGTGGTCGATTATTTTTGGTCGTAGTACTGTTTTATAAATAGCCCAGTCTTGCAGCGAACTCCACTCAGCGAAGGTGAGCCTGTCTTTCAACTTTTTAAAGGGCATTTCCTTTTTAATTTGCAAATCTAAACAGTTGAACTTCATTTATATAAATGTTTCTTTAGATCAGCCCCAAGTAAAGCCGGGTTTACACTATGTAGCAAAAACTGCTATATAACTATTGCTAGATAACATTGTTATATAACTTTTGCTATATAACATTGCTATATAACTTTTACTATACAAAAAAGTTACAGACAATTTTGTGATTCCGGTGCCCGTGCTATATGTTATATGTAGCACAACCTCATTTACATTCTTTATCGAAAATGTCGAGCCGAAGAGACATTGTTCGAAGCAGCTATCACGGTGATCGGAAGTCAGAAGCGGAAGCGATCCATAATTAAAACGCGAAATAAGGCGGTGGTAGATTCAAAAACGTGTTACGTATGACCACAACGCCGGTTGTCCACGGAACAGTTCAATTAAAGTTTATAATAGCATCCCGATCCCACGCACTGTCGCTTTACAGTCCTTCCATTGTAAACAAAGATCCCCGAGCAAAAACGTCCGTACACAGGAGGCTACAACTGTGAACTTTTGTGAACTGTTGACACTAAATGCTACATATAGCGGATGCTAGACGAAAAAGATTTGTATAACATTGCTACATATAGCAATGTTAGATATAGCACGCATTTCTTTTGATCTTTACCGACTCCTGATGGATAGCACATTTTTTGCTATATATAGCAGAATCTGCTACATATAGCAGTGTTATATAGCACTTTTGAAAAGTGACTTTTTCTACTTCTAGCAAATGTTATATAACATTGCTAGATGTTACACAAATCTGCTATATAGCAGGTTTTGCTACATAGTGTAAACCCGGCTTAAGACTTGTGATTAAGTCTTACTATACGCTCTTGAAATATTACATTGTTTTGTATTTACAATGTGGTGTTGTTTTAATTGTATCGTTATGCAATTTTTGAGCTGGCAAAACTTCCAAAAATCCAAAATAATGAAGACAATTGAATCTATATAATAAGTGACAGTTAAATCCTGCTCTGACTGTAAATCACGTGTTAGTTCATAATCGACTTGATTTGTACCTACATTTGTTACGAGTAGACCTAATAACTTTATCAGTTGTGCGGTTAAATACTGTAGTAGAGGAGCTATAGCAAATGGCTGCAATAAGAGAATGCAGACACAATATACCCATTCACAAAAATAACTTATTCGATTGTGATTTATCACGTGTAGGCCTACATTCATTAGTAATAGGGGAGTTGGAAACTCTATATTTCAGGAGTAGTCTATTATAAATAACAAATTAATAATTCAAATAATATGGACTAGAAGTAAAGGCTTTTACAGTTAATATTTCATTGCACGTACATTCTCAGTAATCTACCAGGTCATATAACACCAGCAGTACTCATAAATACTGATAAAACGCAACGAAAATGCATAACCAGTGCTATCGACAAGAAACGATGATAAATACATCTTCATATATATCGGGAAGCATTGTAGGAGATGATATACAATAGGCAGTGGCGGCGTTGTTCGCATGTGGATGATATAGATAGATGGTTGTGTTCAACAGCTGATTCTGCGAACAGCTGATCGGAATGGCGCAATGACGCACGTTTTCGCGCAAGCGCAGACACTTGCAAAACCGATGGCAAAAACGTGGAGATGCTTATTCTTGATCCGGTTTAGATCCAAATTTAGTTATTTTGAATTCTACAATAGTTGCTATTTTAAAACTAGTTTATGCGTTTAGGATCTTATCTAGTTGCACAAAACGGGTTTAGCTTACATTTACAGAATTTAATATTTTTAAATTTGTGTAGTAAGTTCATCGTTATGCAATCATTGCAGATAATTCTTCAAATTTAAAACAGACCAGTTTGCAATCAGTCGTGTACACGCGCAGTGTTAGTATTAATTGCAGGAATGTCATCTTGATGCGAAAGGGACATTTTTATGATGTTGTATTCCCTAAACGTAGTCCGCTAATTGTATCTTGTACAATCTTGATATTAATTAAATTAAAATGCCTATTAGCACGTTTGTACTGCTCTGCTTCATGAAAGTTTTAGGTATGTTTGGAACGCGTCGGCTGTGTTGCGTGATTCATGAGGCTGTGGAATATTGTTCAATTCCGCACGTTGTTGTTATTTAATGATGCAGTGACGCTATTTTAGTTAGATTTTTTAGAGAGTATCTGCAGTATATTAGTATGGGGGCATTCATACTATGGTCACATTCCATTCACCCGCTATGTATTATTAAACTACGTACTATAGACGGAGGTAATGCAAATGATTGCACAATGTAAAATAAACTATAAACATTGCTGCATAACAGTGGTCTCAGCCGAAAAAACCAAAGGACTCAGTTCATATTCAAACTTAAAAAAGGCACTCCGAATTTTTTTTCCTTCGCCATCACAAATTCTGCAAAGAAGTCTTCAGATCCTATAAAGTTATAATTTTCCCCTCCATTTACGTCTTAGAATCCCTACCATTCATTAAGAAACCCCTTTCATCGTATAGTTCTCCAAGCTTTCATAGTTATTCTCTTTTCGACAATTTCAACTTTTTAGTACCACGGCACTCCACAACATTCTTTAAAAAAAAACTTTCACTTCAATGCAGTAAAACTGTTTAATCACCTCCCTCTCCCATTGAAATCCGAACCCATTGAACGACCTCGGAAAGTTTATAAAGTATATTAAGTCAATCTTAATAGATTTATGATTATTTTTAACTTTTTATAAGAAATGTAATTTAAGTTAAGATTTTCCCAATGAAAATTTTATTTTTCATCTGGCTTGATAAGTGACTGTCTATCTTTATTCGGTGTTTTTCAAACTCAACCCAAATTCAAATTACCAAGAGACAAAAAACTCTAAGTTGGCATCCCTGTATCCTTTACTTCAATTCTGAAATGCATTGTTTCATTGTTCCCTACACGGTTTAAAGGTTACAGGGAATTTATTGTGAACAGCTTTACTTACTCTGTGTGTCTATATGTCTACAATAACTTACTCTTTGTTCCAGATGATTGCCAGTCGTATTGGACGTCTGTTCTCCACCTCGGCCGCTAGGATGAGTGGTCATGGTCACGGACCCGACGGTGGAATCCCCGGCATTGTAAGCATACAAATCCTACATAAAACAGTGTGTTTACAAAGGGTAGTTACAGCGTTGAAACGTCTTTAACAATTGATATGCAAACTGATGAAGTTGAAAATTTGATTCAAAAGGAGAATAACTGCAATTCTCGTAGTTTGTAGTTCAAAGGCTAGGTACATCCATAATCTTGACGAGTTTGGTTAAATCACCCATAAATTGTGGAGACAAAATTAGCCACCAAGCAATGTTTTCGCCCATCTGTGATTTCGGAAAGACGGAGTGATCTCAAAGAAAGATCTACAAAAAAGAAAAAAGAAAGATTTACAAAGTTGTAAATAGGTTATAGTTCGAGTGATCATCAAAGAAATTTGATTTGGATGAAAAACTCATCATTCAAGTCAAACAAACATTTCTGTAATTGGTTGGATGTTTTTCCCCTGGATTATTTTAGAATTATTTTTATACTACATTCGAAATTCACCTTGTAATGCAGTGTTCTCATGTTTCAAATGGAATCTTTCATAATGCAAAGACAGAAATCGCCTAACAATGAACATAATGGTAAAATCTCCAGAAATACTTGTGAAAATTGAAAGTCTACTGCATAGGTACTCACCTCAAATGTATTTATAATAAGTTCAAATACTTGTATTGTTAAACGATTTTAATTTTTGTTTTTTCCTGCAGAACCTGCCTTTCGACATCAGCAACAAGTACAAGCTGACTGCGTACTTTGTCATCTACTGCGGATCTGCCATGTCCATCCCCTTCCTAGTGCTCAGGCACGCGCTTACTAAGTAATCTGGTGAGTTCCAATATCATAAGATAAAATAACTTTAGGTGAATAAAATATTACTTTCTTATTTTTTCCGATCTTGGTATAATGGTACTTTCGCAAACACAATGCCTCCAGACTTCCCGATACGCAACCGTCTCGAATTTTCTTCCTTTTTTTCATAAAAACCACCACCGCATTAAACCTGGGGGCTAAACGATTCATAATTTTCCCTATTCGTATTTTTACTAAAGGCTAAGCGAATTTCCATTGCCTGATTCGATTTTCACTTGAATATATCAGGGATATTCATTTCCTATGGAATATGTGAGATGTTAGCATAGTAGCTTAGTACAAAATGGATAAATATGCCAAATTTGGTCACAACAACAACAAGCGAACTACAGCAGTTAACTTATTCTCCATAAGAATAACATAGACATTTTGAATTTATAATTTTTGATCTTTTTCGCAACCCATAATCGTAAAAGCACACTTCAGGATAATAAATACGAGTATAATTTGGTTTTAAGTTCTTCAATATAGTTTTCAGAAAAATTGAAAAATTATATGATTTGAGGGATTGTATAAAATTGTTGGTTTTATTGTGTTTGCAAAATCAGCAAACGGCTCGAATTTCCCCCAACGATTTTGATTGGAGAAACCCTGTGATTTGAGCCGTTACCATAGAGTACTTGCGTACTTTCAACTTTCGATAACGGTATCGCGAAGGGGTCCTTGTTTTTACAAGTTTGTATAAGAAACCAATGGAATTTCCAATTAACTTTCCGGACTAGATTTTCGACCAATTAAATACCTTCTACATATGTTACCGTGGCCGCCTTCAGCCAATTAAAATTCTGCGTCATCAATTAGAACTGGACCGGACTGGAGTGAGATATCGTCGTCTGAGGAGATAAACATTTTTGTCCCCGATATTTGATACTATATCACACAGTTGTGCATTTTCCACATTCCCACTAATGTTGTCTTTATAATTTACGGAAGTCGTGCTTAATAGCGACTGTTTTTCACTATTGAACCTTTCATGCTCCCACCGTAATAAAACTATAAGAGAATATATAATTTCCATAGAACTACATCCTGTGATAATAATTCAACCATGAACCAGTCTATCTCTATCTTAGTAAAATACTTACTAGCCATCTCATTCGTATACTGAATATGGAATATCGGGTATTGTTTCGCATAGAACCTACGATATATTATCGGATGAAATATTAGTTTGATTTGCATATCGTCATATAAATATTGATAGTATGTTTTTCAAAAAGACTTGTCACCTATGCTGTGGAAAATAGGTTTGGTTAATAAATTTAGTTGAACAATTTGGCTCAGTTTAATAATAACAAACTAGGTAACATTATACAAAAGACAGTTGATTTATAGTAAAATTTGTTGAAGAGATCAATCCACCTAGATGTCTATTTCTTATCGTGCAATCCTCTTTTTCATAAACTAAACTAACCTAACCTAAACGCCGCAGCAGCACACTGTAAAAGAATGACGGACATTATTCTATTACAAAAGGTCCATAACTAAAATCTATATTTACGCTCAATAATTATGTCGATCTAATATCGACATTTTAATCGATACCGAACTAATATTTTAGCTGATAATATATCGCAGGTTCTTTGCGGAAATGTATCCGCACTAATAACTACTTCAGTATCCTGTATTCAGTAGCAGCCAAAATTAATTGTGTAGAGGATGTACAATTTTTCATCCGTTTGTTCACGTTACATGGGACATGGGTTTTCTTAGAATTGTTCATGCCAGTATAGTAAAAATGTTTGTCGAGCACAGCTGATTGTGAAGATCGCGTCATCTCGTGTTGCTGTGTCATCGCACTCTGCAGTTCTTGTGGGCATTGAGTCATTTCATGTCTATCAGACCACCAGACGTCTTGTTCAGCATTTTCTCAGCTGATTACGATTACCAAATAACCGCTCAGACTTTGTGTTTGATTTTTTATAAATTTTCATTTACAAGGTTTATTTTGACAGTTTTGGGTTTCTTATCCGTATGCTGACGTGATTCTATGATTAATACCTGTAGCCAGCCATATACTAAAATCTGTTTTATCGATAATTATGTATTGTACCTAGTTTACAGCTAAATTTAAAATCCCTGCAATTTAGTTCAGATAAATATACTTTCTTTTTGCAAATATCAACGACATTTTATCACGACTGGATATGAAGCAATTCTAATAACCTAACCAAATGTATAATAACCTAAATACTATAACGTTTATAATAATATTGATGGGGAGCATATATTTTTTTGATTGTGTAAACCAAAAGCCACACAAACTTATGTACCAACAATTAAGACTTATTATTTTTTACACCTTTAACTACCAAAACTACATTGACATCATTTTCCAGCGGAACGTTTGAAACAGTTCACTACTTTGTAATGCTCTGGCTATACACTTCTTCGTCGGACGCTATATAGATTGTTAAGTTTTAAAACATAATGCTTTCTTGAAAAACAATAACTAAAAATAAAGTCATCCTTAATAATTTCAAGTGAACTTTTGGAAACGTCTATTAATCAGACGAGATATCTCAAGGGTATTGGACGGTTCACAATATGGTAACAGAGAGCCCATGTGCTCCTTCCAATTAGTATTGTTCACGGACGAACTGTTGCGCCCCTGAAGTCGACTGTCCGGAGCCCGAAACATGTGTGGATCAGGTTACTGTTAGGCAACAGGGAGGGCCGAGGACCATTAGACAGATAACCTGAGAAGTGGATAAGTAGGTGGAACGCACGAGGTTTCTGGTCTCTTATTTTGAAAACGAAGGCAAAATAGAAACGTATTCGGATTTGTCTCCTTTCTGAAATTATACGCAAGTTCTCTGGTGTTTTGAAAACGTAGGTAGGATGGAAATGGGTCGAAATATATCGTACTCGGGTTAGTCTCTTTTGATTAGTGTTTTGCTAAATTATGAAGAAAAATATATGAATGTCAATTAATTGATTACGTTTTTTTTTTACAATCTGTTTTCATGATCAAACTTAAAATATTTGAATTTAAATGTCTTACATTTCTAGTTCTTGTCCATCTGAAGAAAAAACTTTATTGATTGACAACAGATCGTACTCCTAATTTTGCTTGGAAATGACACTTACTTGCATTTGAAAACGGCAATGGTGTGGTGAGCTACACCTACATTAGTTCCTCAGTCGTTGTTTGATTTGAACCGAAAATATAATTTTATTGGATATCAATTAAATTTACGTATATGCTTTAATTTTACGTTTAAGTTCCAAAATGATTTTGCTCTGATGCTAGACATTTGATACCACAATAATTACTAAATAATCACTTTTGTGCCAGGGCTTTAGTTTATTAACACTAAACAAAATCTAACACAGTTTGGCAAATGGATCAATAACATTGTATATCTTAAATAACTTATCATACGAATGCGGGCTGACGGGGTTTCAATTGATTTCCATGCGTTGTGTAGTGATTAAATCAACAAAATACTGAGGGGATTGGGCGGTCGTTGTGAAAGCTATCAAGATCAAATAATTGATACAGTTAAGGGTAGATTTGACGATGATTTCGATTGCTTCTTGAGATTACGCTTCCTATATCTGTGTAAAACAAAATTCGTACAATTAATTAGTTTTTTGTAAACAAAAATAATACCAAAAGAATCGATTTAAAACAAAATGAAGTTGTTCATAAAAGGTTGTTATTTAAATTGTTATTGGTGGTTATTGCTTTTTAGGAAGAATTTATTTTTTATTTTCCCTTTATTTTTCTACACACATGACTATTTTCCGGTGTTTGGCTTTTTACTTTCGGGACAATCTGTATATTAGGATGTAGTTGTATACACTAAATTGAATACACTTAGTATTGTACACAAAATTAATGTTACATTTTTTCTGTTGCAGGTTCTTCATCAGAAAACTTTAGACAACATTACCATGTATTGTTAAGTTACTTTTTAAAATTACTCTAACGTTATAGTTTGTAAATAAAGATGTAATCCTTTGTTTACCATAGTGTTGTTTTTCCTTTATGTTCCAGTTTCGTGTATTCAAATATTTTTAACTGCCATGAGTCTTATTTTGATAATTTTGTTATTCATACTCGTCCATATTTACTTGATTTTATGTATTTTCCAGTGAGCCTCGTATTTCATGAATCGAATTGTATTTGTTTATCTTTGGAGGTCTAAGGAATATTTCATGTATTCATAAACCCCCTTCACAATAATATGATTTATTTTGCGCATGTAAACGCTCATAATGTTATTACTACAAACATCATGCAGCCAATATTTGAAATACTTTATTTAGAACCCTGCTACAAGTAAAATTCACGTAAAAATTGGTAAAGGTCCTCATTACTCCGTCCACATACTGTCTTCCAGTTTTATTTCCATTAAATAAAGTCTTGAACAGGAACGAATGAGGCTTCACTGGCTACAAATTATACTCTGTATGGTGGAACCTGATTCCTGACCCTCCGCATATCTGGAGACTGGCCAATGATTTAAGGTCAGAGCAAGTTTATTGGTCAGGGCCAGTAATAGCCCCGGAATTCATAACCTTTTTACTTTTGTTTTAGTGATTTTGGTTTTATTTTCAAGCAATAGTATAATGAACAAAGTTAGTTTTATTTTGGGTCAATTTGAAAAACGTTACTGTACTAAAATTCTCACCAAATAAAAAGGTTTTATTTTGAGTCAATTTGAAAACATTATTGTACAAAATCTCACCAAATAAAACAGTTTTATTAACACCGAATTAAGTTTTTATCCACACCAGCTCCCATTATCACATATAAACAATTGCATAAAATATAAAAGCCTTACTAATTCCATGTTTTAGTATTTTGATTTAGATTCTGTTTAAACTATTTTGGTTTGGTTTTTTTCATTGTGCAAATTTTGAAAAACTGCATCTCACTAAAACTTTCACCAAATAAAACCTATTACTTTCTTTAACAACAATTTTTCATCTAATCCGAACTGTCCATAGCCTCTTGACTCTCTAAAAACTCTATATCAACTCTATGTATGATTCAACTGAACTCTATGATTCAACTCAGTATGAACAGGCTATTGGTTCTCATATTATCGTAAACAAGACCATAACGATAGTGATAAGCGATAGTGTGGATCTAACAGTTCTTTACACTTTCAACACTGACTAAACTGTGCACGACCACCATGCTCTCAGCGATTCGCAAATTTGCTACTTCTGCAATCAGAAGAGAAGCTGCACAAGGAGGGGTTCCTGGAGCGGTGAGTAGAAATGTTTTGATTTAATTTTAAAATGTTTTGTTTTTACTAAATAAATTCTGAACGGGAATTTTTTGAAATTAAAGACGTTATTTACAAGATAACCCCCTTATTTAAGTTACAGTAGACTCCCTCTTATCCGGACACATTTTAACCGAATAGAACCTTTTTTATTATTCTTTTGGCATAAATAACACGTCTTTAACTGGACAATGTTTATCAACCCATTCGTTCAATCGGACTGTATATTTCTTTATTTGGTGTATTTTAACTTAATTTAAAATTTATTAAGAACATCCCTAAATTCAAGCGAAGCACGAGATTTAAATGTAGGAATTCTAATAAAATAAAATTATGTAAACTAAAGAATTTAGAAGTAATAATTTCTAATTTTGGGCTCTGCTCAAGTAAATTTATTGTTTAACACTATCCAGAAAACGTTAAAGTTAAAACGTCACAAGTCAACACATTTAAGCGCGTATAAAGCCTATCCACATGTCACAAACAAGACAATTATTATTTTGTTTTTGTATCTAAAATACGCTTTTAACAATATCATTGTCCAAAGTTTAATAAAACCTCACAAAATTTCAAGGATATGTGTTCACCTGCTAGAAGAGGGGTGAAAAATTAAGTATCTAATTTACATGATTTTTGTTCTCTATTTTATTTGTCTGACCCTTCTTATAACTTGCAAAGAATCGTTTATATTGTTAACAATTCAATGGTGTGGAAATTTTCTTTTTGTGTTACAAAGTTTAATTATGTTTGCGTTAGTTCATTTGAAAAAAAAAACTGGATCTTTCAAAGTAGAAAGTAGATAAAATCATACCCCTTTTATAATTTTACATAACTAAAACTTTTTGTACTGAAAGAACTTTTTAAAGTATAAACTTGTGGAATACATTATAAAATAATGTACGTTAACACTTGTTAACCTAGGCTACTAATAATTAGTTATTTTGTGACCTCAATTTTAAATGTCAAACACTTAAACTTTTTTTTTGAAAGTAGTTAAATTGTATTTAAGGAAATAAACTTTAGTTCCAAGTAAATGTATTATTTTGTATCTATTTGTTTTGAAGGAATAAACTCATTATTTCATAATAACGAGATTAATGAGCATGTAAACATTATTATTTATAGAGTATTTAGTAGAAATGAATCTTGGTGTCATGGTGGACTCTAAGCTTAGCTGGCGGGACCAGATATTCCGAACGGCGGACAAGGCCGCTAAGGTGATCTCTTCTCTTAGCCGGTTAATGGCCAATGTCGGAGGTCCTCGTTCCAGTCGCAGAAGGCTGTTGATGTCTACAGTTCAGTCTGTGCTCCTGTATGGTGCGGAGGTGTGGGCAGACGCGCTCAATAAGGAGGTGTATAGGATGCGGCTTGCCAGAGTGCAGCGTCAGGCAGCACTCAGGGTAGCATCCGCCTACCGAACAGTGTCTGAACCTGCCATCTTGGTGGTTGCTGGAGTAATCCCCGTCAAACTTTTGGCGGCGGAGAGGAAAGCGATTTATCAGCGGCGTGGAGAGGACCATGCAAAAATGGAGGAGCGCAACCGCACCTACCAGCTCTGGCAGGAGAGCTGGGAACAGGAGTCGCGGGGACGCTGGACCAGGAGACTGATTCAGCAAGTCCAACCATGGGTTGACCGACGGTATGGTGAGGTGGACTATTACCTTACCCAGTTTCTGACAGGTCACGGGTTTTTTCGGTCGTACCTGTTCAGGATGGGCAAAGCCGTGTCACCCGATTGCATCTACTGCCCAGGCACTCCCGACGACGCGGAGCACACCTTCTTCCGCTGCCAGCGTTGGGAAGGTTCCCGCCTGGAGGCTGAACAACATGTAGGGCAGTTGTTGGTGGACACGGTCATTCCAATGATGACGGAGGGTGAGGACAATTGGGCCTGTATGTCACATTTCGTCCAGGATATTCTCCGCACAAAGAAGCTAGAGCTTGACCGAGATGTGGTCTAGGTCATAAAGAAATTGAATGCCAGAAACGGCGCGAGCCCTGAGGGCTTAGGTCACACGTTGACCTGACCTGAAGTAATGTGACAAACAATCCCAGGTCTGTGTCCAACAGAGTAGAGGGGGTTTTTTAGTGAGTAGTCTGACAAGCTCAGGAGTCTCACACTACAGGCTGGCTACATGTGTGCGTAAAAGCATTTTTACCTCCTCTCCCTTATAAAAAAAAAAAAAAAAAAAAAGTAGAAATGAATTACAACATAGTCATCAGACAGTTACTTTATCTGAAGACGTTTACCTACCCAACACGAATAAATCAACAGTAAATAAGTCTTAATGGTGTCCTGCTGGTTTTTGTCACTTGAATATCTATTACTTCATTTTAATCACAAATACGCGTTGTAAAGCTGTAGGAAAAATATATCTATTGCTTGGCATAAGATTGACACCTCTATTTGGGGTTGAAAGTTCTATACTCCAACTATTGACAACTGGGAACAACACATTTGTCTTTAAAATATATGGCGTCCAATTTTTTTACATCAGGGTTGAAATGTTTCTCATTTGTAACTTTTTTATCAGCTTGTCACTAGTCTAGATAAGGTTATCTGTTAGTTGTAGTGATAAGGCTATCTTTGTTATCATATTATAATGTCGCGTGTGACCCTGCACCCGTGTTGAAAAATGTTTTAATTAACAGCTGTTCTAGTTCAGAAAAAATCTATTTTATGGTTTTAGGACCGAAGTAAGATATTTCTTAACAAATCCGCCAAAAGAACACGTATGTCGTAGTGGTCATAGTTAGGAATAAGGACTTCTTTTGTGAGTGCCGTGTTTTATCTGGTCAATCACGAATGCATTATTCTAAGTAATAATAGTGTACCTAATCGGGTTGTTGTCAACCGATCTTAAGCTGTTGGTTTACAAGTCCACAAAACCTTGTAAGGCTATGTCTCTGAAACGAATAGAATATTACAAATACCCCCGCCACAGCAAACCTGCAGACTAAGCGAATTTCAACTTGTCTGATTACATTTTTACTAAAATATTTCCATAAATAAGACATACTAGCTGAGTGCCCGTTCTACGCACGGGGATCTTATAGTAGTCAGTTGAAACCTTCTTATATTAAGATTAAGAACAGCAATTTGTTTGCATATTTGCAGATATGCTGGCAAAACAATTATATTATAAACCTTCGCAAATACAGTATCTGACAGTTCAAGCCAAAATAAATGCTTCGCAATTAAATGTCACCCGGATCGTGTTGGTCCATATGTCCAATGATTAAACTAAAAAATCTTTTATAGATCCATGAAGCGTAGCCCTAAAGTAGGCCTATAATTGAAAGTTACTTTCCACATCGGTTAACTTAAACGCATTTAAAGTACTACCTCAACCTCACCATTTAACACTTTATTCCGGTTGACATTTTCAGTATCAAAGGTGCTCTTGTCCATTCCGTGAAACACTGAGAAATAAGGACATTAATGCGTTACCAACATACAACAAAACAACACAATACAACAATCCGACAAAGGCCACGAACTATTGATACATAAACAATATAAAGGCGTAAACAATTCATGATGGTTTGCCCAACAAATGTTTTACTCAAATAGGTTATCATTTTCTTAGCATACCGGGTAAGCTAAGATTTGGAATCCAGACAGAAAAAGCAAAACTTATACAGAGTTAAGACATCACTTAAATTGAATACGGACGGCTCTAATAAATAAGGTGCAACACCAACGATATCAAATTTGTAAACTACCGGT